GCAAGCATTAAAAAAAAAAAGAAAAAAAAACAAAATCGTTTCCTTTGCGCAACCGATACATATAACTGCTACTCGACAAGTATTATAATTAAACACGTTTATGTAATCACATGTACAAGTGTGTTCAAATATGTTGGCGCATATATATATATATATATATATATATATATATATATATATATATAAGCATTAGAGATATATATTAAATATGCATAATGCTTAACTTATTGATCAAGAGAGAAAGAACATATGACTTATCAAATTTAAGGATTACAATGTTACTTTTATCAGTTCACCTTAAAAATGTAGAAGTGAGCTCGAAATATCACACTGAGGAGGGCTTTTACATTTCTCACTGTACAAAATGTCTATCGACACCCCGTGAAGAGGATGGAAGAGAGCAAAGGTATAATTTTGTTATCCACCAGATATTCCCGCGTGTGTGTGTTAGAGATGTTAGTAAGTCAGACAGTAGTAAACACAAGAAACATGATGCATATACACAAACGTAAGAGAATGACAAATGCGCACTAGCTATATGGATGCCCATGATCAGGACTAGTAAATCCACCTGGGTGAATTATGAATAAGTACTTTCCCAAAGGGATATGGATTGAAAAAAAAAAAAATGAAAAAAAGTCTTGTGGTGTTACTCAAAGTTCAATGGTTACTGAAGACAAACGATTTACCCAATGATCTAATATATGTCTTTTTAAAACACTGTTTTTTTTTTTATTCTATCCCATTCCCTGCCGACAACTTTCTTTATTTATTGAGCAGCGGATGATTCGCAGCGACAACAACAACGAATTCCTTACCTTGGCCATTCTTTCAAAATACAGCCGTTCTGCCTTGTCGTAGGTTGGCTTATCGAACCATACCTTTTCTTTAGCCAGTGCGGCGGTCATTCCAACAGTCGCTGACATCTTTTCGGTATTTTAGTTTTACGAAGCAAAAATGCTAGGAATTTCTGTAAACAAGATAAGAGAAGCAAGGTAAAAGTAAGGATCCAATTCGCGTGCACGCAAAGTGGTTCTTCGGGTCACGTTCTCCTCGCACTGCGCTCGAGAATCAGTTAAGAATAAGAAGTATCATTAATTAGTATAACATTCGTTATATATTTTATTATAAAAGTACAAACTTTTATCCGAGGCATAACAGTAACGTGTCTGTTGGTATATACATAATTATAAGATTAATACAATACAATCGTCAGCGAATTAATACTGTCGAGAAACTCAAGTAGCTAACAAGATAAAATCGAAATTATCTATTAAGTTTAAGAATCGTCATTATCGTCACGATATTCGGTCCGCGATTTATCCTAAATAAATTTTACGCCTAAAAACGTCGTAATACGTAATTTTCAATTGCACCATCCCTTTCTTTTTTTTTTTAACTTCTAATCTCATTCAGCAAATGGAATACAGTGTGCTTCACGTTTTCCGGGCATACAGAGGGATATATCTCCGCCGGCTTAAAATACTGCACAAATTTCTTGAGTTCCTCAAAAGAGGCGTGCGTGGAGTAACATATGTTAAACGTGTTCCTCCTGGTCTTATCCCACTCGCCAACTACACGCGTATCACGGTCCCTCCATTTTTGCACCGACGGCACGACAGTCAATACGTCATCCACGAGAACGTCGGGACGGCACTCCAGACCCGAGCGGTCCAGGTGGCTCGTGCCCGCGTTCTTGTTCATACACGCGTGTATACGCGTGGCCAGTCGATCATTCGTAATGTGACGCGCCAAGTCTGGGATACGACAGTAGCTCTCGAATACGACGTTCTTAACGTGAATGGACGTTTTCGTGACTTTCGACAGCTCGATGTAAAGAAACTCGGAGCCGTACAGGGCGGAACATTCCAGAACGACGACCTTCCTTGGGCTTGCCTCCAGCCATTCCCTCACAACTTTACCCATCACATTCATGCTCTCCAGCCTGGTCGGGAGATGGGCAAAGTTACGATCTAGGAACGTTGTGTCCAAGTACACCTTGGCGAGTCTCCGCGGGAGCACATCGAGATCTCTGCGATAATTCAGCGACGTTAGCTTACTGTAATCTCTCGGATTGATTCTAAAGTCTCCCGTGTACAGTATCAGTTTGCCTGATTTTTCAAAGAGGAACATCACCGAGCCGGGACAATGTCCGGCGGAGATGCACGTTACGTTAGTCAGAACTCTAGTCTCTCCGTATCTGCTTCTACATTCGATAGAAACTTTCTCATCGATATCAAGGTCCTTCACGCAGGTTTCCGTATTATACTTAGACTCTAAGAAGGCTTTACTGATATGGCTGCAATAAAGGTACTTGTTGTACTGTCTCAAACGTTCAAAAAACCAATTGCTCAAGCCTTGCATATGATCGGTATGGCAATGGCTAAGGAAATACGCAAAGGAGTTCAAGTTCGCTCCATCGAAACGATCCACGGAGATGCCTGGTATCTCCTCGATAAGCCCAAGGAACGTTGACATTCTGCGTAAAATGTTCCCTGTAATGAAGAGTCCAGATATCAACCAAGTCTACGTCGGTATGATGAATATGCGCAAGATGATCACACGGCACGAAACGGCGAACCAGAGTGAATAAATCATTTAATTGAAAGCTCAGTATTTAATAAATCTTGTTGAAACACTCGACTGAACATTCAGCTCGCATAAACAAAGATGCTCCGGATGACGCAACGGATAAAAACCCTTGCTTATATTCACGCAAACACGCGTACACTTTTGCACTGGCGGAAAAAATAATAAATATATTTCACGAAGATTATAACTTTGTAAAACAGCTGTTTTCGAGTGATTGACGCGCACGACGTATGTATATGTATTATTAAAGGTTAAAAGGTTAGGCACGAAGTTATGCCCATTTCTAAAATATAAAAAAAATATACGTATATGTACATATTTGTGAATATAATAAAAAAAATTCAAAATTTTTGCACACGAGACACGCGAGTGTTTCGTACTGCCTTATTTTTAATTTCGTAAAATCCGTCTTTATATCGAACACGTTTGAATTTCTATTCTACATTCGTCAGCATTCCCAGACTAGGCATCGAAATTTCTAGAAAAAGAAATCGTAGTTTAATGATATCTGACAACTCGACTTTCTCTCGAAACCTCCTCCACGAGGTAACTCCGAAACTCCGATCTACCCATGTGCGGTATCGATCGGCGAGAGTTGACACGCATTTTTTGGAGGGACTTATATTTTTCGTGATATCAGCCGAGAGGGTGTACGTTGGTTAGGCGGGATCCGCGGGAGAATCGGTTTCGCGTAAAATATTCCGTTAAAAAACATACCTCGAGCCACGTTCAAGCACCAAATTGGCTCAAAAATTGTTCGGCGGCCAAAATTCCAGTGCGTGCCGAAGGAGAGCACAGGGCAGAAGGGCGAAACGGCTGCTGGCGCTGCTGAGAACGGGGATGTCGTACTGGGGATTTTTCATCGCGTGCGAAAGCAAATTTCTCTATGCCGAAGGCGTTCCGAAACTCGTCGAAAGAGAGTTTTGTAACTAGCGCTGCTGATCCGGCAGCGGCAACGCCGGCGGCCGGCAACGGCGGCAACAGTCGCCGTCCGGAATAGTTGACATAACCTAGCGTAATCATCGGAGCGTCGTCAAAAGAATGTGAATGTTATTTAAAAAGTGTTGCATGTGAAAGTTAATCATTTCCCGTCGTTGCTTACTGTGTAATTTATTATACATTTGACAAGATAAAGGAACAAGAGAGAATGCCACCAAAGTGTAAATTTCAAGAAGGTAGTTTTTTTTGGCTCTCTTCGCAACGAAGATTAATTGTTGAATTTTCTTACGCACTCTCTTTGATTATTGTGACGCGCGTCGAGTTAATATTCTCTGTATATTTTTAGGAGAAAAGGTCCTGTGCTTTCACGGGCCACTGATCTACGAAGCCAAGTGCTTGAAGTCCTCTGTTACCAAGGAGAAGCAAGTCAAATATTTCATTCACTATGCTGGCTGGAATAAAAAGTGAGACTTTTGCGTACACAACTAAAATTTCTATACAATTTTACGTTTTTGTCGAGCTAACGAAACTAAACTGAATTGTATCTTTGTAAAAAAATATGTATATTTCATTCACTATTTTATTTTTATAAAAAAATTTCATTCGCTATGTTGGCTGGAATAAAAAGTGAGACTTTTGGGGACACAACTAAAATTTCTATACAATTTTACATTTTTGTCGAGCCAACGAAACTAAACTGAATTGTATCTTTGTAAAAAAAATATATATATTTCATTCACTATTTTATTTTCGTAAAAAATTTCATTCACTATGTTGGCTGGAATAAAAAGTGAAACTTTTGCGTACATAACTGAAACTTCTATACAATTTTACGTTTTTGTCGAGCAAACTAAACTGAATTGTATCTTCGTAAAAAAAATATATATTTCATTCACTATTTTATTTTTGTAAAAAAATTTCATTCACTATGTTGGCTGGAGTAAAAAGTGAGACTTTTGCATACACAACTGAAATTTACATACAATTTTACGTTTCGTTGAGCTAATGAAGCTAAACTGAATTGTATTTTTATAAAAAAAAAATAAATAAACAGCTGGGACGAATGGGTTCCCGAGAGCAGAGTTCTCAAATACAACGAGGCGAATGTACAGAAGCAGAGAGAGGTCCAGAGAGCGCACTCGAATCAGCAATCCGCTCAGAAGAACAAGAAGGGAAACACAACGGCCAAGACGCAGGGGCGGAGGAGCGAAGGGATCCGAGAGAAGGACGTGGACAGCAGGTCGAGCACTCCCGTCGCCGACAAGAGTACGAGCCGTTTTAGCAAGGGTACAAGCAGCACGGTAACACCTTCGTCTTCCCACGACTCTGCATCGGAAGCGCCGCGTAAAAAACGAAGGTCCGTCATACGTTTAATGTCCCTCTGTACAGTTGTGTACGACGGTTTAATGTAAAAAAACTTTTTGCGAATCTTTTTTTTTTTTTAGTCGGCTAGAGCCGTCCGGCGAGACCGAGGAATACCTCACGAAAGTAGAGGTTAAGATCAAATTACCCGAGGAATTGAAGTTCGTGCTGATAGACGAGTCCGAGATAATCCTGAAGCACCACAAGTTACCCGCATTACCTGTACAGAACACAGTCGACAAAATTCTGGATGATTACGTGGAGACAAAATCGTCCGGGAAATCCAACGACGTCAGGTATTCAAGCAATTGAAAGTCGACTATTTTGATTATTCTATTACATGAAGAGATTTTTTTTTAATTTATCCTGAAAATCATGTTAATTGTGGGACAAAGTAGTATTTCGATGAATTTTATGTGATTTTCTTTGTTTTTTTTTTATTATGGACTACAAATAAAATTATTGTAGTACACAATAAAAAAGAAAAACAGAAAATCACATAAAATTTGGAACACTGTTGTCCCACGATTGACATGATTTTAAATTTAAAAAATTTCTCCGTGTCTAAATCACTTTTTTTTTTAATTTACCCTGAAAATCATGTTAATTGTGGGACAACACATTTCGATGAATTTTATGTGATTTTTAAAATTTTTTATTATGGATTACAAATCAAATTATTGTAGTACACAATAAAAAATAAAAAAATCACATAAAGTTTGGAACACTATGTTGTCCCACGATTGACATGATTTTAAATGAAAAAAAATTTTTCATGTATAAATTACATTTTTTAAAAATTTATTCTGAAAATCATGAGACAACATAGCATTTCGATGAATTGTATGTATGATTTTCTTTGTTTTTTATTATGTACTACACACAAAATTATTGTAGTACACAGTAAAAAAAAAAAAAAAACAGAAAATTACATAAAATTTGTTGAAACACTATGGTTGTCTCACGATTAACATAATTTTCGGAGTAAATTAAAAAAAATTCTCCGTGTATAAATTACACTTTGCAAATATATGTATACGCTCGGCTAAATTAACTTGTTTTAGAGAAAGCACGTTGGAGGTGACGAAAGGTATACGGGAGTATTTCAACAGCACGCTGGGCCTTCAGTTGCTGTACAAATGGGAACGGCCGCAGTTTATACAGATAATGAATGACAATCCGGAAACGTTGCCGAGCCAGCTGTATGGAGCGTTCCACCTCCTCAGATTATTCGGTAATGCGTGCTCCTGCCCTTAATTGTGTATCTTGGAATAAGGCAAAAATTACAAAAGTGAGCAAATTCAGTAGAAATATTTTTAATTTCATTGGCCAATATCTAGCGAATCTCATTTTTGTAATTTTCATCTCGTTTCAAGATACACAATCGACCCCCCGATGAAACGTCCGCCTATTTTTAAATGACGATATTGTTTAAATGACAATTTTAACTTTTGCAGTACGACTCGGCGGCATGCTGTCGTACACGCCTTTAGACGAGAAGAGTATACAGCTGTTGCTGTCGCATTTTCATGACTTTCTACAATATTTGCAGAAGAACAACACCGCGCTCTTCAATCTTCAGCAAGACTACACAGATCCGTCGCCGGATTATCATCGGAAATACGGTTAACCCGTATCCAGTAATTATTTTTCAGACTTACTTGTACTCGAGCAAACGTATTACTTTTACGCAGAATATTTTCTTTGACAATCTCTTCACACACGGGATACGATTCGAATCCATTTATGCCACGCAGCTATTGTATAACTGCGTCATTTTAAATAAAAGTATACTTAATTTAGCTAATTATAATTTCATTAGAATAGGGTGTATAAATGATCGCGAAGCGAAGATGGCGATAAAACAAGAATTATGACGAAATGTGTTCAAATACACAACGCAATATTAATGTAGATCTAGATTCTGGATGCTAGGCTAAATAAACCAGATTTCGAGATTCAATGAAATATAAACCATTAATTATTAAATAACATCTAATAATAATTAAAAAAGAATGTTTTCCAAATCAATTTGAAAATCTTGATAAATTTAATATTAATTTACAATAGATCTAGATTCTGGATACTAGGCTAAATAAACCAGACCGATTTCGAGATTCAATCAAATATAACCATTAGTTATTAAATAACATCTAATAACAATTAAATTAATGAAATGTTCTTTGGGTGAATTCGAAAATCTTGATAATTTAATATTAATTTAGATCTAGATTCTGGATACTAGGCTAAATAAACCAGACCGATTTCGAGATTCAATCAAATATAACCATTAATTATTAAATAACATCTAATAACAATTAAATCAATGAAATGTTCTTCAGATGAATTTGAAAACCTTGATAATTTAATATTAATTTAGATCTAGATTCTGGATATTAGGCAAAATAAATCAGATCGATTTCGAGATTCAATCAAATATAAACCTTTAATTATTAAATAACATTTAATAACAATTAAATCAATGAAATGTTCTTCGAATGAATTTGAAAATCTTGATAATTTAATATTAATTTAGATCTAGATTCTGGATACTAGGCTAAATAAACCAGACCGATTTCGAGATTCAATCAAATATAACCATTAGTTATTAAATAACATCTAATAACAATTAAATTAATGAAATGTTCTTCGGGTGAATTCGAAAATCTTGACAATTTAATATTAATTTAGATCTAGATTCTGGATATTAGGCAAAATAAATCAAATCGATTCGAGATTCAATTAAATATAAACCTTTAATTATTTATTAAATATAACATCTAATAACAATCAAAACAATGAAATGTTCTCCAGATGAATTTGAAAATCTTGATAGACTTAATATTAATTTAGATCTAGATTCTGGCTACTAGGCTGGTTACTAAATAAACCAGATCGATTTCGAGATTCAATCAAATATAAATCATTATAATTATTAAATAATATCTAATAACAATTAACACAATGAAATGTTCTCCAGAATTGAATTTAAAAATCGTGACAAGTTTGAGAATCAAAGTTCTGTCGGATGACCAATCAGCTTCTCCGACAGTTCCGCACAATCGGTCCGCTTGTCCAACAGCCGGGGACGACCAATCCGCTCGGCCGACACTCGCGAGCGGCCAATCGGCGGGCGGCGCAGTGCGCACAGTTGTCCCTATTAACGGGTGTCTCGTCTCAGACGTCGGCCGGCCATCTCGCGACGCGGTCGAGTGATCCGAGTCTCTCGTCGACGTTCGACGTGGAAGAGAGCCCGTCTGTCCGTTTACCCCCCGGGGCGCGAAAACCCGTAGTCGATAACGGGGGCACGCACACGTATTAGGACGCGCCGGTGTTGCGTCTTGCGTCGCGGCGGTGCAAATGCGCGCGCCAGGCGAGTACGAGCCAGTCCGCGAACATCGGGCCAGTCAGTCAGTGGCAAGAAAAAATGGCGGATGTCGACTTGAATATCGACAACCTGATACAGAGATTGCTGGAAGGTACGTGATTGCGACGGGGCGGCCGACGCGCCGAGATAAACGCGCGTACGGTACGTCGTTTTCCCTGCTGCCGCGAGCGTGCCCGCCGCCGCCGCCGCCGCTGCTGTCGTCGTCGTGTGTTCGCGCGCGCGAACGCGTTTCTCGTCCGCGCGCGGGCGGACGGGAGGAATAACACCGCGGCGCAGCCGGGTGTATATACACGGACGTGACGCGACGCGATGCGACGCAACGCGAACGCGCGAGTCGGAAGAATCCGAGAGCGCTCCGACGCCTCCAACTTCTCGCGATTGAAATTCGACGCGCTCGCGCTCGACGCGTTCGCGCGCCGTCATATGTCGTTCTCGACCATTCTCGCGCGATCGTCGCACGACGGTCCCGGATTCGCGTCGCGGCCCTCCGTCCGTCCGTCCGTCTCTCTCTCTCGCGCGCGCTCTCTTTCTCTCTCTCTCTCTCTCTCTCTCTCTATTTCTTTCCCTCGCTCTCCGAGGGCGCGTATCGCGGGAGCCGTGACGCGGTGCTCCGACCGCACGACTTCCTCGTCGATCGGATTAGCAAAAGACGCAGGGAGAGGATATCGATCTCGGCCGCGCGCCCGCCGGACTGCCTCGCGAGTCGCGGTCATCGCCGTCGCGATACGTAAAATCGAGTGAAAAGAGAAAAAAAATTCATGGGACCATTCGTCGTCCCTCTCTTCTTCTCCTCTCTCTCTCGTTCCGAGTTCGCTATGTCTACTTTTCCATCTCTCTCTCTCTCCCCGTCTTGCCTTTCCTCTCTCTTTCTCTCTTTATCTCGTTGTTGGTCGCGTTCGTTTTCTCACCGATATACCTCCACCTCTCTCTCTCTCTCTTTCTCTCTCTCGCGTCTTAAAGAGAGCCCACCCCCTAACTCCGCGCAAACCGCCACCGCATCAACCCCCCCCCCGTCCCCGCCTTGCGTCGTTGACCACCACCGCGCGATCACGATCTTTTATCCCTTCGTTCTCTTCAAATCGCAGCAAGAAAAAAAAAGAAACAAATTCTCTCTTTTTGTTTGTTCTCTCTCTCATGCTCACGCGAATGCGGAAACCCCCTTGTGCGGTAAAGTATACCACACGCAGAAAGACCAGGTTCAGAAGAAAGCCAAGCTAAAAGATATTTTCTCGTCGGACTTTGTCGGTACGCAGCTACTACACAACAATAACCACCGCCACCACCAACTACCATCACACTACCACCTACCATCACTATACCATCAACAACACCACCACCATCACCGATACCATCACACAGCAACAACACGGAAACGATAAACTACCCCCACGTAGAATTATTCAGCAGCGTTTAACCGAGCCTTCCTGACTTTTGTATTCCTCATTATCGTGGCCTGGCATGTAAACAGCCGCTTACATGACGTTGCGTGTGTGTTATCTCTAAGCGTGGCTATTCAAATGTAACAATTGCTTTTTTTTGATACTGTTAAGCACCAGAGATAAGCGTTAGAAAACGTTATGCTTATAAAGGCGGTGTCACGTTTGCATTTATTTTAAATCGATTTCCGTCTGTTATTTGACATTATATGATTTATTTTATTTCATTTCTTGTATCAGTATTTGTGCCGAATTGTGGAATCAGCTGGAGTCCGTAGCTGCGAAATGATAAATGGCAAAAGCAATTAGCACGCGTAAAAAGTGAAGGAAGAAGCGATGCAATTCAATATAATGACTCGAGCGACTCAGAAATACATTAATTAAATTTCCTAATGACAGTGTAATTCGTTGACGCAAAGATAAGTTTACAATTTTATCATAATTATATCAAATGCAACATTTAGTTTTGCCACGTCGAGAAGGTCACGCTTGTAATTTGATAAATGGAAGTCTGTCTATATCTATTTCCCTTTCTATCTCGAGACATTCGATATCGAAGCGGAAAATCAAACGGAACTCGTCTCGAGTCACGGTGACACAAATTAAATGGAAAGCAGAATCGACTCTAGAAGAGCCCACTTGTCGCGTAAGTGGAGAGCAATTGATATTTCTGTTTAGTCGTCGCGTTTAAAGCTGAAACAATATTAAAGCTCTCGCGGAAGGACGGCGGTCGCGTCAATGTAAAAAAAAGCGAATGACATGAGAGGTGGAGATGATATGCAAGTGACATTCAGCGTAGCCACGTTTAGCGTTAAACCGCGCGCTGCGAATTACGGGCCGTTGCCTCTCTCGTTGTCGCGTGCCCGCTCGCTGCACCGTCAACCTCTCCCTTTTTTTCCTCTTTGCTTTTTTTTTACGTTTTGTTTCCCAGGTGAAGGAGAACTGACCTCTGCACGCGTGTACGTGTGTGATCCTCCGCTTGCTCCTCGGTCGTCGATCCTATCGAAATCACCCTCCCTCAGAGAACTCGAAGACACGACTCAGCTACACACGCTCTTACTCAATGACAAAATATCTATAATCTTATTTGGAGTATAAGTATCCACCGCTTCTCGTATACCACTCGAAGTTATTTCTGGATCTGTCGATGCACTTATAGCCAATTCGTTTTATCACTTTCTTCCCTCTTCGCACTCTCGTAGCCTTCTCGTTTTTTTTTTTTTTTTTGAGATGCCTTGTCTCTACGTATAAAAATTGAGCGACGTTGGCTGGAGATGTTAGCTTAAATGTTAGAGCACGCTTGGTATATATAATAGATGTATTTATGCAATCCGTAATTTATGGGAAAGTGCACGTGCTTCGATTGTACCTCCTTCCTGCATTGTTATGATAATAATCCCCCACCTTCCTCTCTTCTGCCCCTCCAAGAATGCGAAAATCTTAAAATTATAATCTGAAAATCCATAATTTCGAATTATTGCGCGTACAGAGATGCAGGTTTTGTTAGCTCAAATAATTTTTGATCGAGAAGAATATCTTATCGGCGTCAATTTATCATTTATCTATAGAGTGCGCGTACCAATTGTTTTACGATATAACGCCATTATCGTTTAGATTAATATCTTAATTTAACATGCCTAGTATCAATTAGATTTAATGCATTTGTGATTGGAGAACATTGAGGATACATATGTAAAATAGCATTTAAGACAAAAATTCAATGACTGCATCAGATTTAACGTAATATTTATTATAAAATGTATACGATGTTACATGAGACAAGGAAGCAATTCTAGTTTCATTGTATTACTATTTGATGGCATTCGCAGTTCGAAACTAGCAATTAATTAATTAACTTCGGGGAGCATATTCCTGAGCTTTTATTAATATCAATCCAACTTGCAAGACTTTAATCTCTACGTGACAACAACGAATTATTTTTAACTACTTCAGGGACGAATTATTTTAAATTCTTAGTCTTTCATGGTGAAGTTCAACGTAGGCGCATGCGTGATTTATAAAAGTGCCAGAGGAAATTTCATCGGTTTCGTGATTTTTAAAAAAATTCATTATGAAGTTTCTAAATTCTGAATTCACGGAATTGTGTCACATCTGGAAATGCGATGACAATACGGTTTAAAGCTGAAAATTTACCGTAACAAGTACATTCACGCCGCATGTCCCTGAAGCGATATAAAGTTCGCACTCCAGAGTCATCGTTAACGAGACCTTACAATTATTTTTAACCTCTTCAGGGACAAGTTATTTCTGATTTATCATATTTTCTCTCCATAAATTCTCTCTACCTTATAGGACTGAGGCAACTTATTTATATAAATATTGAAGTTTTACGTTTGTAAGTAAGCCGTGGAAACTTTCCTGAGGAAATCTTCCTATTGAATTTTAATTCCGTTTTAAAAATAAACATCGTTTATATATATAAATATCGAGCTTTTCCTCGGAATTAAATTTTCACATATACTGGTAAATTATCAGCACATCGTGCACACGACGGGATGTTTATGCATCGCCGCTAAATGGTCCCGGATCAGAAATCTGTTTTTATTCCGGCTTATTTTAAGCGCTTATTTTTAAGCATCCGATGACTCCGCGGTGCAAAGGTGACATTTCCAGGCGTTTCGCCTGGAATATACCCCGCCATGTATAGCAGCAAAGTTGACAATATAGCTTCTCGCTCGCCCGGGATAATCGAATCTCTGCATCTTCGCTCTATAGTCGCCGTGACCTTGCTAATATGCAGTTTTCCGATAGCCAGTATCAGACTAGTTCAGCCGCACCGTGAATTCCCTTTTATGTCTATAAATAACGATCCGACGACACATCCATAGCGTCATAAAGAGAGATGATCTGCACTGGATGTCGGTTAAATCACCTGTTCCCTTTGCCTTCGCCGCTTATTAACGCTTTGAATGTCGAGTGACGTCATCTAAAGATATTCGGCACCTCTGTGAAGTGTCAAGACTAAATGCGCCAGTGAATTTGTTTACGAATACAGAGACGTGTTCAATAATTCAATTTTTCTTTCCTACCAAACTTTCGTCGCGTTTCGGACGTATAATCTACATCTGTAATGATACTGAAATTCAAATATCTGTTTACGAAAAAGAGATATTTGAATTTATAGATGAATCTTTAAAGAGTATCGATTGTTTTCTCATGCAGTCGTCACTTTAATTTATAATTGTACAAACAGTTGGTTCCGTAAAAATACAGTCGTGTTATTTTACACGGTCGCGAAGATGTGCATTTAGATCTATTCGCTGATGCATTTACTCTACGTAACGGCATTGTGATCGTGCGAAATTGAGCCAGGATAGAAATTAGGAAGGGAGATTGAATCATCCAGAGCGTTACAGATCCAGTTAGGATCCAGACTCCGTAATAGTTGAGTGGTATTTTAGGTTTCCCATTATGTTGAATCGTGCATCCCGTGTCGGAAATAGCTCTCTTTCTCTCCCTCGCTCTCTCTCTCTCTCTCTTTCTCTTTTTTTCTCTTTCTCTCTCAACGGAGAGAGAGAGAGAGAAACTCGCACTCCCGAGACATTAATATCCATTATTATCCAACGAGCTTATCAGTAAATTTCACGCCTTTGACGCTGTTATAATCGATGCGAGAACCACCGTAGACCACGCCGGAAGTATCGTGATTGTACCCATGTGCAAAGTGCTCGAGACTATAGGCAAAGATGATCTGGCCTCACCGTAATCTGTATATCGTGTATCACCCCTGTTTATTGAGACGGCTAAATACCGGCAGAAACTTAATCATCTTCCATGCCCCAAAGTAGAGTTATGCTCGGTGTACCTGTAAGAAGGTGTACTACGAGAGAGGCCATCCCTCGTTAGTGCGGTGGACAGAAACGGGGAATGCCTCATTAGGCGTCATTATCGATTCGATATACCGGTGTACAGGTGTGAGTAACAAGTACGTCGATATGTACATACACAGCCGCCCGTGTTTCTCTATATTGTTCTCTCTGCCCGACGCGGAATCAAAGAATTGCATAACCGTGCGTAACGGGCGAGCCGAAGGCAACGGGTCGAACTCGGCGGCGAGGAGTCTTCAATAGAGACTCACGGGGTAAATTGACGGGATAACGTGTATGTATTACTGGCGTGTATCGCGCTCGAGTAATTCCAGAGGCAATACGCGTAGCGGTATAAGTAATGCGGTATAGGCATATACGGTGCTAATTATACGTGACAATGGCATTATTGATTTTTTTTCCAGAGATAGACCGCCCGTTCTTACGTTAAAGATAGACTCGCGTATCTTGATGCGAGAGCCTTTAAGAAGAGAATAGAAATCAGCTGTAAATTCGTTATCGGCGATAACAAATCTGCCGTATATATATATCGCGCTCTTACTTATCTTACTGTTATCTTTCTGAGCGCGAGTACGCGCGTGTAACCGTATAGAAATTAATTCACCGCACTAACGAGAAGGATCGTTTGCGATCTCGAATAAAATTACGCGATTAACCGCAAATCGTTTCTGGGCACACAGTCAGAGGATGTCGACCGGGCAAGACCGTTATCATGACGGAGGCCGAGGTACGTGGCCTCTGTCTCAAGTCGCGGGAGATTTTCCTGCAACAGCCGATCCTGCTGGAATTGGAGGCGCCGCTTAAGATCTGCGGCGACATACACGGCCAATACACCGACCTGCTGCGGCTCTTCGAGTACGGCGGCTTCCCGCCCGAGGCGAACTACCTGTTCCTGGGCGATTACGTCGACCGGGGGAAGCAGTCCTTGGAGACGATATGCCTGCTACTGGCGTACAAAATCAAGTACCCGGAGAACTTCTTCCTGCTACGCGGCAATCACGAGTGCGCCAGCATAAACAGGATATACGGCTTTTACGACGAGTGCAAGCGGCGGTACAACATCAAACTCTGGAAGACCTTCACGGACTGTTTCAACTGCTTGCCGATCGCCGCGATCATCGACGAAAAAATCTTCTGTTGCCATGGCGGGCTTAGTCCTGATCTGCAGGTGATTAGCGAAGAAACGAGAGATCCTTCGATTTGTTTCTCGTTTCAAAAGACATTAATCGAGTAAAAAGTACAGTAGATATACATCCATATCTTTCTTTGTCCAGGGAATGGAGCAAATCAGAAGAATCATGCGTCCAACCGATGTACCTGATACCGGTCTCCTCTGTGATCTCTTATGGTCCGATCCTGACAAAGATGTCCAGGTGAGGTGCTTTTATGTAAAGCGAATCTCAACGCACCAATTAGATTAATACAGGAAAAGATCACTCTAACCGCATGTTAATGCTAATGTTCCAGGGTTGGGGTGAAAACGATAGAGGAGTCTCGTTCACATTCGGTCCAGACGTCGTGTCGAAGTTCCTGAACCGTCACGACATGGATCTCATATGCAGGGCGCATCAAGTGGTCGAAGACGGTTATGAATTTTTCGCCAAGCGACAACTCGTCACGCTTTTCTCTGCGCCAAACTACTGCGGCGAATTCGACAATGCCGGCGGAATGATGAGCGTTGACGAAACGTTGATGTGCAGTTTTCAGGTGATTGACGAGAGAGAGAGAGTGTTCCTTTCATTACATGTCGTTGATGCGAACGTTCCATATTTATCGCGCCGTGTGTCTCGCATTCTTTTTGCAGATCTTGAAGCCGTCAGAGAAGAAGGCAAAATACCAATATGGAGGAATGAACACGGGTCAAGCCGGTAGACCATCTACACCACAAAGGAATCCAGCGAAAAAGAAATGACAGCCTTCAACCGAACCTGCACAACAAACGCGATTATCCTTAATGGAGGCTATCATGCTAGGTAAATCTGCTTTATGCTTGTCAAAGATTACTTAATCACACTAGCTGACCACTTATGTGCATTATTACGAGTCTATTTCCCACGATTATCAGTTTAACAGAAAAAAAAAGAGAAAAAGAACAGAAAAAAAAGATGGGAACGAAAGGAGAGCGGAAGGAAGCGAAATGTGTAGGACGTTTACTCGACATGCTTAAGTTTTCGCGCAATGATTCACCGATGATTTAGATGTAATATTTAGCACGCGACGTGTTTCCAACACATGTACACGCACTCCGGGGCGGACGTGTTTTACGGGACAAAGATACGTTAATGGATTTGCTTGGACATTATGGGCTTGCGAAAATTCTTAATGCTTTCTAGCCGACGCGCTTGCCATCGAGTGCCTCGGATCTGATCTAGCCTTTGATTTTCCTGTGTTTCAGCACGAAGACGTCGAGATACAGAATTATAACCTAATCTGATAAACATAAACCTAAACCTAAAAAAAAAAAGTATAAGATTTATCTCTCCCTCAATTGTATTTTAACAAGATAAGGAAATATAAAACAATCCGCGGTGAATCAAGTTTCGATTATCATCGTACTAAGTACTTGAAGGGATCGCTCTCGGAATTTCGCGGCAATTATCGTACCACAAACGTGAAGTGATCCCTCATAAAGCTAGTGCTCTTTGAAAAGCATTTCGTCATTTCTCATTTGTATTTATTGCTTCCACTGTTGATGTTGAGTGTAATTATGAGACTCGCTGTTATTATTATTAATATTATTTTTATTTGTAATAGTATTTTTATCATTGCTTTTAGCAGCTAATTTAAATGTCATCGTTTCATGAGAGATGCTGCGCGTGTATATAGATAGATATATATATATATATACACATACATACATATATACATACATACATACATACATACATACATATATATATTTTTGACCATTTATTTTTTTTCTCTTGAACCATTATCGATTACGAATTTAATTATGTCGTCATTGTGCAGTATTCCGAGCGTGGTAGTGACTGCACGTTCCAGAAATATGTCGTAGACGAATTAGGTTGTTTATTCTCGGGCGATGAATGATCCGGAGAGAAATACAGAGAACTATTATTTTTAAGATAAACGATTACGCCTTTATTTGAAGGATGCTAGAAGGAGGGAGATCGTGAAGAAGAGTAGAATGAGGACGTGTCGCATTGTATACAGAGAGAGAGGAGAGAGAGAGAGAGAGAGAGAGAGAGAGAGAGAGAGAGAGAAACATGTTTAGGTGCAGAATCTCAGCTTTTTTACGCTCGTGATGAAAGCGAACGCGAATGCAAATGTGCATTTGTTATCTGATTTATGGAAGATTTAGTGCATATCGTAAAGATTATTTTAAACCGTTTGAACATGTCAGCAGTGATTTTGCAGGCGGACCTGTGCATATTTTGATTTTAATGTGTTATGAAATTTTGCATTTATGTTTATGCTTCTAGACGTAAGACATATTCGTGCTAAAATAAAGCTCACCGATTTTTTTTGAACAGGAAAAACATACGATGGCAAATCGCATTTAAGCGTTTGATGCATTTATTTAAACATTTGTAGAATACGTTCTATCCAGCTTTTCGTTCTCTTTCGTTTTTCCATTGACTCAGATTTTACGTAACTGCTGAATTCGTCGCTGCAGAAATCGTTGCGGTAATAGGATTATTTTACAGACTTAACTGCATTGAATGTTTCCTCGCTGCGCTTCTGCTCTGTCTAAGCGACGTTATATTGTTACTTGTAATCATCTGTGTAGCAGAAGTCGCATCTGGCGGCAAAAATATATGCGTTTCGACGAGAATATTATTATTGGAAATACTATTGTATCACGTATCCCTGCAGGAATCTTAGAAAATCACGTACAAAGAAGAAAAGTTGCAGTCCTCTCTGCGGAAGCGGCGACCGATTGAATAGTAATGGCAGTTCGAGATTGTATTCACAGGGAGGATATCTGTCCTTAATAATGCGCAATTGTGTTTTCTGGAGATTTAAGTATTTAATAATTGCTATTGGCAAAAAAAACCACGAGTACTATCAGTAAACGTGATGTGTGTGAACGTTCGAAATTTACGAATACGAGGCATCGATAAAGCGCGTTTGTCAAACAATTAAATGCAGACTGTGTGACGATTGATGAGATTGTATCGTGCGAGCTATTATGATTGAGGAGACGACCCGGAAACACGGAAGGCCGTACATCAAAACCGAAAACTCACCTCGAAGCAGAGATCAATCAAACGCAAGTAAGCCTTTTCGTGGCGGCGAAAAGTCGCACGATTGGCTTCTCACATTATTATGCTATATTTTACTCAATGGTTATGCATATTATTTTATTGCTATTTAACGTTATCGGATAGCGAATTTGAACGAAGTTATTTATTGTTCGTGACTTGTACGACGAGGTGCAGAGAAAATTTGTTAAGTTTTAGAAACTGGAGCCGACGAAACGGAAGGTGTCCTTTCCATCTCTTCCTTCCCTGCGTTTCTCCCCCCCGCCTCCAATTTTCTCTCCCCCCCTCCCCCCAAAGAAACGCAAGATTAATTATTGTCAAAGGAGCGGTTGTGATCCCTCGATATATGCGTTCTTTTGTCCGAGATTCATATATTATATACAGATATTATATTTGTAAAGGGTTGGCCGATCGCGATTCGACGATACTTTACTAAATAAATAATTAAATGAAAGACGCTCTTGTGTGGAAGGAGTTAGCGACACTATCGTGGATTGTTACATCGTTCGAATCGCCGATGACGGAACACGCTATGCAATGGCATCCTAGAGATGTAAAACTTTCAGATAATAAACATGCATATTGTTGTACAAACCTCTTTTTCAGCTTGTTTTTCCTGACTCTAACAAGAAGATATGGTAAGATGAATCTATTGCGCAAGTCGATTTTTAATTATGCTGATCAGCTGATTATGTATTATATAATGCAATATATGTATATTTTTCTTTTGAGGAGATATTGAATTTTTTGATATCAAACTAAGTGGTAAGAATTTTATTTATACATAATTACATTACTGATTTAAAAATAATCGACCGATTGAGATATATTTTTCAACAGTTCTTATCAAATCAAGCATGTATTTTATTTTAACTTATTGAAATTAATTATGAATCATAGCAAATTGAAATTATAAGTTACAAATTGTTACAATTGAAATTACATATAATGATATTATTTGAAAAATTTTTGCCTGGAAGGAAAACGAGATCGGGTAAACTGACCGTTCTGTAAATAAAATTTTGGCAGTGTTTATTTTATTTCAGATTATGGATGAGAGGTACAATAAATCATATGATGGGAAATGTTAATAAATAAATAAAACTCCGTGGAAATATGCACTGTGATAGAGACGCCAAAATTCTTTCGGGATATGTGATGCAAGTTTTCTTTCTTTTTTTGGTTGACCTTTTTCAGGCATTATTTTTTCTTTTTTTCGTCGTTTTTTTTTTGTTTCACGCTTTCCGTGTAGCACCAGGCAGTCATCAGTAAGCGTAGTGAGCTGCAAAAAGAGAAACGTATTGATCAAACATGAAAAAATGGAATGACAATCACGTGCAACTTATGGAAAAATATTTAAACAAGACGGATAATATTTGAGAAATCACAAGTCATGATGTCGATTAATTGCGCTTATCAATGCGACGTCGAGATAAGCTCAATTTTTTTATTTATTATTTTTCCATAAGAGCCTTATTTCGAGATTTCTACTGGAGGAAGTATATACAAAATTAATATACGACATATAAGATAAATCCTGGATTTTTAAAAATCGAAAATTTGACATGCGAGTATCTTCAATCAATTTTCGAGTTGCACGCAATACGTCCTTCTGCAGTAAAAACCTTCAGGAAATTCAGCAGAACTTTTTATAGAACTTTTATATACAATGTACAAACATTAGAAAACTCAGGTTTTTACACGTCCTCGTTGTATACGGTGTAACGTTTCGACTATTCTGATGGCAGTTAGTCGTTTACAAATGCAAAATATAAACACCGGTATTAAGGCATTACATCAATCGCTAAATATGAGTGTCTAAATTTAACACAGCAAGCTTAAAACTGGCAAATTATAAGTGGTAACTCGAACTATTCTACGCGACATTTAATGTATTGATAAATTAGCCAAAATACTACGTCGAACGGAAATATTACACCGTGAAACGAGGCCCCCTAATATGTACACTCGTCTGGGGGTATTCGAGACATAAAGTATTTCGATAACACAAGTGTCTCTCACTGAAAAAACTCAAAATATGATATATACATTAATTGAAAATATACGTACAAGAAAAAAAACGGAGGAAAATGATGATCCGTAAAATATATACAGCTCTCAAATCGTGTACAGACCGTCGTGATAGATGTTGATTGTAAAACAATTTTATGATTAGATGATTATGCTACCGATTACGTGAGGAATTAGGATGATGTTTCGTTAACGAAACCCTTCGGCTACGACGCTTCTGGCCGAGTCCTGTCTACGGGGACTCGTCGAACGACTTGTCTTTTATGCTAAACATCGACATCCCACAAGCGGTGAGTGCTATGGTTTGCGAATACTAATAATCGCGAGCGACACGTTGATTTTAACACTAGAAGATATATATGTGTATTAGCTTCCGTTTACGTTATATATTGCCTTTCTTATATTTTTACTTTACTCGCGAGATAAGTAAATTTATAAAATCAATAATAGATGGATTATTCTTATCGTCTCTTCTCCATTGATTACACGGTTATTGAAATACAATAAGAAAATTTGTATAATCAATTTGAAAAAAATATTTAACAAAAATATTTAAATATTTAAATATGTTACTTTAATTTAAATTAGAGGATCATTTCGACGCTGCGAAATAAACTTGAAACTCTTCTAGTGTTAACAAATAAATGTGGCGAATGTGTGATCATGCAGCGATCATAATTTGCGGAACGGTGCTTTTTTTTAATCACTGTACAAACAATTATTACTGCACCACTGTGGGGCAGACAGACATTATCGGGCACATACCGCGTGTTCGAGATTCTGTCAGCGGCTCCTCAGTCGGAGTGACGGCTCGGCAATTAATAATTACCACAAGGATTAGGGAACATTCTTGTAACGCATTCTGGGGAGAAACATTTGGGAAAAAAAACAGTCGAGTTAATACACGAGTGTAATCGTGGGTTACGCGTTTAAGGGGAGGAACGCATTTCCCGGGACACGGGGACCATCGGTATACAATAACAGTAACAGTAATTTACAAAAATGAAGAAACACGCGTGGTAGCCCAAGGGTTAAGAGGCCCGAATTCTCTTTCATTCATAACAACCGTCGTAAAACACGGGCCTATTACGCTGTATGTATGTATGTATATATATATATATATATATACACACCACTGACCACTCATTTGTTACGTTCTACTTGCGTGTTAATTAGCGAGCGTAATACGCTTTAGAATGTGGCGCAAACGAGGAACCGTTTTCGGTGTGAATCGTGATGCGCCACCACTATCTCCCCGCCGACTCTGATTGAGATTATTGATTGTTTGACATTATTAAACGAGTGAATGGGTTGCGAGGGATTCAACACTTCGACCACTTTAATCTCTTATCGCTCACTTTTTTCGCTTAATACGTGGTACGTTTATTATACCACGGGCTGGTAAAGTGAAATCGTGGAACTGGCTGCGAATAATAGTAGTATAACGCTCCTGAAACGATATAGACATTCGCTTGCTGTAGCATCGATTCTCATTACATTAAATCTGCATCGAACACTCTCTCGGTTTCAAGTCGGTAGAGTCTGTTATTAATCACACTTGTCTTTGGTGAGATCTCAAACAAGACAGAAATTAAAAAAAGTTTAAAGCGTTTGAAAAAAAGCATCTAAAAGGTGTCTGAAGGATCGTTGCAACGTTAAGGACACCTTTTGGACATTTTTTTTAGATTTTTTTTTCCCTTAACGTTTGTGTATGTTACGCGATTTGTAAAAGAATTGTGTAACGTTCGAAAGAAAAGCAACCACTTGGCGATTTAGAACAAAATTTCGACTACGAAGTCTGTCGAAAAATGGAACGCGTTCAAAAAACAAAGTTGTCCGAAATGTCGATTTCGCCAGCTTGGCACGAGGTGTTCTCAATTTTGCAGTTCGACGAAGCTGATGGCACGGCGTTATGTATGTGCTAAAATCATCAGCAATATCGCCGAGGTGCCAAATATCTCCGTATGGCCGCGACGATTTATATTTTCGATCGAGGTGACAAGTGAAAGGATATTCCGGCCCGTTTTCCGACGTCACGACTGGCGATGACTTCTATCACTTAATTCATGCTCGAACCAGCTGGATTCGATTTTCAAAGAGAACTTTTAAACAGTATTACGAGCTTATAATATATTTAAACAATGTTATTAACAACTTTTAAATATCGATCACGCGCGAACGCCATATATTATTTTTTAAATTATATACGTTGCTCAAATTTCAAAACAATCTTCATATTTTTAGAAGAAAATTCGTGATTGATTTATTGATTCTGTGATAAGAGAATAATTGAAAGAGAAGTTTTCGCCAGTAGAAACGTTTTCCCTAAATGTTCTAATGGTGTTGATAAGCGTGAAAAATTATCAAAACCCATACCGAGACTATGGCTATTCTACTGGCAAAAAGATAGACGGCTGATTGTGAGTTTCAATAGCTCACGTATATTACGAAAAACACTTCCTGTGCGAAAAATATCTCGTCTTTCATGAGACTGTGCTTAAACTGTAATTTAATAATGTATGTTAAGTGCATGTTAAGAAAGTGCATATTATATTCTAGACTACTATACCTTGCTTTGATGAAATATTACGTATATAAATAATTAAAAAGTTCGAACATTATAACAACAGTTTTTTGTATCTCTGCAGTAATAGTATATTTTTGAATAAACTTTTCGTGATAGTAGTCTAGATGTATATTTGCGATTACGGATATCCTCTTAAGGTAGTAAAAAAGCAATAGTAATCGCAAATATATTGCAACTACTGACTGCAGGTTTTACGAAAGTTTTTTTTATTAAGAAACTGTATTTAAATATTTTACATATATTTTTCAATTTAATTCGATATTCAAAAATTAAAGTTTATTGCGTATAGCATGTTTGCCACGATCTAGCGGAAATTTCGCAATGCTTCGACATCTTTTAATAGCATCTGCAGTCAGTGTTTGTCAACGACCAATGCCACTCACGTCACGTAAATTTGCGCAATCGTCATTTGTCGCGAGCGTATATTTTCATATTTGAAATGAAGCTGTCAATTACTATTACTATGAATTATTATGAATTTACTATGAATTTTACTGTGAATTTGTTGTCAATGCTATGCAATTTAACTCGTAAAGGACACCTCTTTTTTGAATGGTTTTATTTAACACGAAATTTGAAAACAATTACGTTCTTTTTACGAAAATTTAATATTACCAATCGATTGGTCAGACAATTTTACATTGGGAAACACATTTTGCTTTAATTTTGCTTTTTATTTTCAGAAGATATAAAATTTAAAAAAAAAAATGCGTTTGGTGCGAATTCGCACCTAGGTGTCCTTTACGGGTTAATGGATGTATTATTATCAATTTATTATCGGTGTAATAATCGCAATTGTGCAGAGTTGGCATCGATCTTTGATCGGCGTGAAGAAAGAACGGTACGCTGTTCGAGTTCAGAGGATCAAGTATGGGCATACATACCGAAGGGCCTGAAGGGATGTCGGCTCCACAGATAGCTACGCTTAATTGGACTGAGATAGCTGTCCCTCAGAAAGAACGGTGTGGGGTATTGA